AAAGTAACACGTGTTATTTAATTGTGCCACCCTATGCGAGGGGGGGGGGGGGGGGGGGGAGGGGGGGGGAGGGTAAAATTATAAAAGTTCGCTCTTTTAAAGACACGTCTCAGGTCCCGGGCCCAGAGACTGTGTTTAAAGACCTGTGTGTGTTATCTCCTCATCTGACACCGATAGATAACAACAGCAAGCGGTGAGATAGGCGCCTGTCTTACAATTTTCTTCATGAGGCGACAACCTAGGCCTCGTCTCGACTTTTCAAAATTTCCCCTTTAGCTACCACGCTAATGGCAACACCAAACACTATTGAAGTTTCCGTAGCACATGAAATCAATAAAAACACTTCAAAGAGATGCTGGACAACGTCGATCATCCATACAACGATTTCCCAACAACTCGTTTATCCGGACAACAATAAATACACAATGCGATACGTTAAATACACCGGGCTATGTGTTAAACACACCATGCTTTATTTTAAACACACGTTGCTATGTGTTAAATACATCATGGTGTATGTTAACTTCACCTGCCACATGTTAAAAACATTGTTCGACATGTTACATATATCCTGCTTTACGTTAAACACGCCATGATCATGGGCGCCCGCAGGTAGGGGCAAGGTGGGGATAAATTTTTTTTAGACAAAAATAGACACAAAATTTATTAAAGTAAAGAGAAAATAAAGAGAAAGTATCTAAGCTGATGTCCTGTCCGTTCGTTGACCATACAAATACGCTACAGTAAATTAAAACTTCATTAAAACATTACTAAAAAAAATTTGCCCCCCCTGGAAAGTTAATCGATTTTTTTGCCCCCCCCCCCTAGAAAGTTTTCTGCGGGCGCCCATGATCATGATATATATTAAATAAACCTTGCTATATGTTAAATACACGTGCACAATAGGGTGCCTCGTCTGAGATACTTAGACATATGTAACAGAGAAATGAAGTCCTCTAACATCGACATCTCAAACTGGGAGGAGTTGGCAGAGGATTGATCCTCATGGCGGGGCATCGTGAAGGCAGGATCACTACATGCCGAGGATCAAAACAGGGCGGAAACAGCTGCTAAAAGAGCGAGGAGGAAGGCCGGTAAATACTGCTCCACCGCATTCGTGTGTGGGAAATGTAACAGAGACTGCCATTCGAGGATTGGTCTCACCAGCCACACCAAGAGCTGCAAGCAATAAAGATAATCTATCGTCTCCCGTAGACGGAAAGATGCCATACATATACATACATAATAGGGTGCTGGGTGGACTAAACTGAGCAAAACTCAAGTTGGTGGTCTGGAGTCCCTAACCCTAACCCAGTCAAGCAAAAACCCAGGGTGGATGGGACGCGTCAGCCTTGGATGGCAACTCATCTAAGAGAAGGAAACTCTGAAATCAAACCTAGGAGTTGGAGTCCCGAAAGGCGGATAACATTGATACAATGAAACATTCCGACAACTTCAGCGACGCCACTGATGCCAAGGTGTATCATCCTCATGATGTTCCTTTGGGTTATTCAGCGGCGTGGAGGAGGCGATTTGCTGTTGGGTACCAGCTTATAAATCCTTGAAGAATAATACCAGGCCATGTGTATTTCGGCCTCCCAAGCCCACCCCATCGTCACAAAAAATATAGCGAAATACGGCATTAACGCTAGGGCATCAAATGTATTATAAGCAGCAAATATTAATGTTTTTTTTAATTCGGGGAAAATATAAAATAAATGTATGTAACCAAAAAAAGAAATGATGTGTTCATTCTTTCTTTCTTAACATTGGGTGGAATAAATCACAGAAAATGAGAAGTTAACTCCAGTTTTTGAAAATCCTAAACGGATTCCGTTTTTTTTTGCCGGGTCCGGGTATGCGACGGGTGGGCTATAATAATGTTCGGCTAATCCGGGTACCCGGGGAAAGTACCCGGCTCAAACCTGTCTTAAAAGGCATTAAAATAAACTATATGTAGTGTTGGCGAAAAAAAAAATGTTAGGGTTGGGGGAGGGGGGGGGGGGGGGGGAGGGGGGGTGTTCGAATACCCGAAAGTATTTCACTTTTTAAAAATTGATGACAGATATTACTAAATAACATTCACTTTTGTATTCACTTCATGCCCATTAAGATTTCATGACTTTATTAAGTGCAGAGAAAACCGAACCTAAGGTTTGTCAAGTGTCAAGCAAACCGAACCTAAGGTTTGTCAAGTGTCAAGCAAACCGAACCTAAGGTTTGTCAAGTTTCAAGCAAACCGAACCTAAGGTTTGTCAAGTTTCAAGCAAACCGAACCTAAGGTGTGTCAAGTGTCAAGCAAACCGAATCTAAGGTTTGTGCAGTTAAGAGAGGCGTTAGGGTTAGTAGAGAAATGTTCCAGATTAAAAAAAAAAATACTATTGGCTAATTAAATTCTTGAATTATCATATAAAACATATTATTATACATAAAAATGTTTGGAGTCAACAATTCTTTCGAAAGAATTACGAATCTGCGCTGTTATTTCGATTGCTTCTTCTAAATACAACCTATTAAGACTTTTACTTGTACAATACCACAGTGATACCAGAAAAAAAAAAAAAAACAAAAACAACAAAATAACAAAAAAAAAAAAAAAAAAAAAAAAAAAAAAAAAAAAAAAAAAAAAAAACAAAAAAAAAAAAAAAAAAAGAATTACGAATCTGCGGTTTTATTTCGATTTCTTCTTCAAAAAACAACCTATTAAGACTTTTAATTGTACAAAACCACAGGAAAACCAAAAAAAAAAAAAAAAAACAACAACAACGGAATAACAAAAAACAGCGCTATAACAAAAACAGCAGTATAAAAGATACATATAACGAACAGAAGAAATACAAACAAATTTTTCGCCGATGAAATAAATCATTGCCAATTTAATATTTTTCAACAACAAAAACCCCACATGTATTTCATTAAATAACTTACACATACAATTCAATCGTTAAAATACAGGTTAATGAATGCAAGCAAGACAAGACTTTATCACAGCGATACCTGCTAATACTCCACAGGTGATCAAATGCTTGTGTTACAACGAAGAAATGGACGGATTTTAAATATGCCAACACATGAATTATTTTATTTGTAAAAAAAAAAATAATATTATGTTACAAAGCAATTTTGACATTTGGTAGAAAGCAGTGTAAATGTCGCTATGACAATGTACCCATAAAAAAAAAAATTCAACTTTTTTTGGTTCTTTTTTTGTTGTTTTTTGTTTTGTTTTGTTTTTGTAGCATGAGGATCACTGGGAATGTTAATCCTAGGGGATTGTACATTCTAGTCTTAAGTTACTTGCTATACTCGATATGCTACATACTGGTGTGCATTTCATTTTGGGTAGAACACCCGATAGGACCGATAACTCCTATCCCTCGATCGTGGAACAATGAATAATTTTATATTGTTGCCGAAAGTGAGTCTTAATGGCGATGGAATTATAATACAGAAATCAGATGGATTTGAATTATTTGAATATTTGTTGTGAATTTTTTAATCGGGGGCGGGGGGGGGGGGGGGGGGGGGGGGGGGGCAAGAAATAGACGACAGCATACAAAATAATATGAGCCGTCTAAAACCACAGTGTGATCCACTGTGGATATTTGTTTAAAACGAGCCACTCATAATCCTACAAATTACATTACAGAATATAATTTTTTTTAAAATAATTTTTAAATAATTTGTTTGGACATGTTTTTACTATTTTCAATAGTGGATTTAAAAAAAATAATTTATTTTTATTATATATATTTAATAAACAGTGAGGATATAGTACATAAATGTATCTTACGTTACGAGTGCGACCCTACTGCGATGCATCAGAGCAGAAGACCGGCTAGAGTCAAGTAGGTATTAATTGCACTTGAAACATTAAAAAAAAAATGCACTGACTATGGTGTTTCTGTTAATTAACAGTACAATTAATTGTTATTGCTGTTCGTGGATGGCACTTGCCCGTTTATGAAGAGAAATTATTAAACATTGTTAATTAATTATTTTTTTTTAAAAATAAAACAAAAAAATTAAATGTTATTAAAAATAAATAAAAACAACCTTTCTTGAAATGATGGAAATGTGAGGATCGATTGCGATAGACTTTGATTTTGCCATTATCTTTTTGTCCATAAATTGTATATTTACATAAGGGAATTAATTTATTACAGACATATGTCTTAAAATAATAGGTCGAACCTTAGCTTTTCAATACCAACAATAGATTTATTGACCTCAGCAATATGGCTTATCTATCACCTTTTATTTATTTATTTATTTATTTTGTTTGGCTTAAAATGGAAATATACATGATCACCCTTCTTTTATGTCATGACAATGCTACCGCTATGTCATGGCGTAAAATTGAATTACGTCATAGCCACCTTTCACAGTAAGTCATGGCGATCCACATTATATCACATTCATGTATCTATTACGTTATGGTCATACAGACATGACGTCACAGCCATCCTACCATTAATTTATGGGCACCCTCTCATTACGTTATGTGCACCATCTCATTACGTTATGGGCACTCTCTCATTACGTTATGGGCACTCTCTCATTACGTTATGGGCACTCTCTCATTACGTTATGGGCACTCTCTCATTACGTTATGGGCACTCTCTCATTACGTAGTGGGCACCCTCTCATTACGTTATGTGCACCATCTCATTACGTTATGGGCACCCTCTCATTACGTTATGGGCACCCTCTCATTACGTTATGGGCACCCTCTCATTACGTTATGTGCACCATCTCATTACGTTATGGGCACTCTCTCATTACGTTATGTGCACCATTTCATTACGTTATGGGCACTCTCTCATTACGTTATGAGCACTCTCTCATTACGTTATGGGCACTCACTCATTACGTTATGGGCACTCTCTCATTACGTTATGGGCACTCTCTCATTACGTAGTGGGCACCCTCTAATTACGTAGTGGGGACCTTGTCATTGCTTTAAGGACATCCTCCCATTACCTCATTCCCCCCCCCCCACCACTCACATTACGTCATAGCGGCTTTCCCTTTGGACGTCATGGAACCGGACATATTATTATGTCATGACTGCCCTCCCATTACATCGCATCCGTCCAGTTACGCCATGGCCGCCACCCTCACTTTAAATTGTTGCCGCCCTCCTATGACGTCATGGCCACCTCTGCTTACATCGTATACACATAGTCGCGTTACTTCTTCGGCACCCTCACAGTACATCATTGCAAACATCCCTTACAATTACGTCAAAGCGTACACCCTCCCAGTTCCCCATCACTACACTCCCATGGCGTCATGGCGTCCACACTCCCACTCCGCCATCACTCCCCTCCCCTCACGTTACGTCATGGCGGCCACCCTGCCATACAAGTCAAAGTGTGAGACACAGTCCGGAGTGAACTCCTTGTTGTGGTTGTGGCAGTCCAGGATGGCAGCGGCAATGTCGGGATAATTCATCTCCTTCAAAGCATCCGTCAGCTGGGTGATTGCCCCTGTCTGTTTGTCTTTGCACTGTGAAAACATCAAGTTGTACGTCATTTTCATAGCACAACATCGTAGTTTTGTTTAAAATTTAAAAAAAAAAAATAAATTTAAATTACAATGAAACTACAGGTGTGGTAGTCTTCCTTTTATTTTTCTAACTTACGACATACACCCTGGCCAGATCCAACTGTCAAAGCCTGTCAGTCAACACGATCGTTCTTATAATATTTTTTACTTTAGAAGAGTCAGTGAGTGAGCTGGGTTAAGTTTAAAACAATGTTTTTCGTTATAGGCAAATCTGTTGGGAGAGTATCTTGTCTTAATTTAGAGTAACTCTGATAATTTACAAGTGAGGTATCTTCATTTTTAAAGGATAACATTATGAACAACTGACTTGCCATTTAGAGTGAACGCATGCTATGGTTTCTGTGATGAATTGTCTCAATAATTAACATTGTCGAAACATAGTGAGCGCTTAACCGGGCATTGTTTCCTTGAAAGTAGATTAAAATGGTGTCATATTTTATCTAAAATTGTATGGGTTTTTTAAAATTGTTAACTTATATTAAATTTTTATTTTTTTATTTTTTTTTGAATGGCAGAAAACCTATTAAACACACGGGAGAGAAAAGTTCTCAGGAAAATTTATAGTCCAATAAGGGATAAATGTGGATGGAGAATACGAACCAAACAGGAATTGTATAGTCTATATAAGGATACCAGGCTAAAAGCATGCATTAATTTAAAAAGGGTAGTCTACGCTGGACTGGTCATTTAGGAGGAATGCCAAAATGACAGACGAGTGAAGAGGGTGCACCATCAAAACCACAGAGGAAAACAACGCAAAGGCAGACCTAGGCTCAGATGGATGGAAGATGTGGGGAAAAGATCTACAGCAGCTATGACTCTAAGCATGGCAAAGAAAAGCATCGATTAGGTCTGAGTGGAAGGAAGTGGTGAGGCATGCCAAAGCCCTATACATGTACTGTTGTGCCACACGGATGGATGTAAACCTTTAATTGAATTACGGTGTAGTTATAAACTAACATTGTCACATGCATTTATACGGTAAACAGAAATCAGTTCACAACCTTTCTCTTCCAGTGCAGTAATATCTTGTAAGACACGTCGGACATGTTCAGACTGTTGCTGAGGGCGTCGAAGCCGATGCCCGTGATGGTAGAGTCTGGAAGCTGGAGGTGGACGGCCAGGGTCAGGCCCTCGGGCACAATCCTGGCCAGCGTCATCAGGGACTTCCCGGAGAGGGCCCTGGATTCTCTGTCAGCTGTAGGACACGGAACAAGACTGTGTTTATTAAGAGCTACTTCTAAGACTAGATTGCTTACCGCTAGCATGTACACAACGACATTTCTTGGAATAAACAATTCTATTTCGCCTGTTCAATTTAAAAGTTTGATTTCGTGTAGATAATCTTTTTTCTTCTTTACTTAAAGATAACATAATTTCAGATATACAGTATTTCGTGTTGCCACTATTTATTATGATTCATGTATATTTTTTTATTAAAATAATAAAAAGCAAATTTGCACAATTACTGAAAGGAAAATGCGTGTCATTTTTTGTTAATAATATAACGGTTTCTATAACTATAACGTAATGTGCTTTTTTAAGCAAATGAACAATTTTAAAAGAATAACTTAGTGCAGTAAGTTTCAACGCGTCCAAATTTTACCTACCCGCAACAGTTACAAATCAATTCTAAGCTATATACTTATTATAATTCATTAAAATAAATATTCCTATTTTTTTTTAAGTACTGATATAAACAAAATATTTACACACGTTTATGTAATATATATATACTCGAATTACTTCCGGCAATGTAAAGCATTTAATTTTACGTATAAATGTTTTATAGGGATTTTTTTTTTCTGAAAAGCTTAACGGGATTAGACAGAATAATAACGTTAATTTGTTTAATTAATTCAAAAATTTACATACGATATAATTGAACAGAAAGTAATGAAACTAATAGAAGTATTATTAATATTATTATTACTATTATTATTATTATTATTATTATTATTATTATTATTAGTAGTATTATTAGTATTATTATTTTAATTTTAAAAGATTAAATTAGTGACAAGAATATATATCTATAGAATGGCAAAAAAAAAAATGCAATCGGTTTTTGATTCACCTCAATATTCTGAAAGATAAAATCAATTAATTACTTCAAAACAAAGTTATAAAAATCTCTGAGGCAACGCGAGCTTTAAGCCTTGGCTAAAAATTTAGAATTGCAGGAATTTTAAACAGAATCGGAAATGCGCGAGTTAGTCAAGGGAAGCAACAACAAAATTGAAAATCGCCAAATCATGGTTTACCTGCTTACTTCCCATGTAAAAAAATTACAACTGGTGTACTCAGTTGTCTGTCAATAATTTTTAAAATACATTTGATAGTTTTTTTTGTGTGTTCTTTTTAATATTTTTTTTTTTTAATTTTGTTTTTTACTTTTAAAACTCATTTAAGATCTTGAGGGGAATGATTAGTTATGACGAAATTAGCGAATAATGGAGAAAACAAATGTTTATCTTTTTAGCTATAAAAGAAAAAAAAAACACTGTTGTTTAAGGAAAAAAATTAATGCGGAGGGGGTGACCCAAGCATTTACACACACACAACAGCACAAAAAATGTGATATGTATCGGTCAAAAGCCAGAGCCTTGACTTACAATAGGCAAAGTACTTTTTTTTCCGTCTTCTTTGTTAATTAAAATAAATTACAACAGTCAATGTACAATTATGAAATGAACGAATTCGGCATGTAATGTCACAAACGATGAGAGCTTCTATGCCAGCAAAAAAAACCAAAAAAAAAAATGGTTATTTTTTATTATATTGAGGTTCCCTTCCCAACCTCACGGCCATAGCAGTATGATATTGAAAATTATAAACATTATCATACGAGTATAAGATGACAGACTACATAATCACATACACGAAGGACCATTGGTGTTGATAGACAACTTAGCGCTAGTTTGACTAAACACAGAAACAAACATATGGGTTTTTTTTTATAGGGATATTCAGTGGAATCTTCAATATTGAAGCGGTGTACAGCAACACGTGTGACTGGTGGGCCTGTTAGGCGGAATGACGTGTGGGCCTGTTAGGCGGAATGACGTGTGGGCCTGCTTGTCAGAATGACGTGTGGGCCTGTTGGTCCGAATGACGTGTGGGCCTGCTTGTCAGAATGACGTGTGGGCCTGCTAGTCAGAATGACGTGTGGGCCTGATAGTCAGAATGACGTGTGGGCCTGCTAGTCAGAACAAGGAGACTATATGTTAAAATAATGCCGAGCACGCACAACATACAGATGGGGAAACCATGGGGAAAAAACAACAACAAAAGAACAAGGAAATCGTTCAGTAAAATAAAATTGATACGAATGATATATATAAAGGTGGCTGCAAATAGGATGAACCATCAGCGAAGTAATGCCAACACGAACACAAAACAAGAGGTACGATCAGTAATGCAATACCGGTACAAATAAAAATACATCCAAATGGGTACAAAACAAGAGCGACCATCAATAGTTCTGTACCAACCGGGAATGGACCGAGTGGGCAAGGGTCTCTGGTAGATGGGCACCCGGGGCGTCTCTGGCGTTGAATAGGAGAGATTTTATTAGGAAGACCAGCCATTTTGTCAACATGATAAGGCAGAGGACCGACATGCTAATTGAGAGGATCAGCATGATAAGGAGAGGACCAACATGGTAAGGAGACAACCAGCATGATAAGGAGAGGACCAAGATGATAATGAGAGGACCAACAGTGAAATGTTTACTTTATTAAATCCCATGCAATCCTCTGATCTTTTATCCCCATTCAAATAATGTTATTTAGAAGTCATGATACAATTGTTCGATGCATATTTTTAAAAAGTCCAAATAAATTTAGTTTTAACTTATCTACTTTATTACATCCCCATATGAATTTAATTTTTCAAAATTACTATGAACAGAAAAAAAAAAGAAAGAAAGAATTTATATATATATTTTTTTACTACACTGCATTTAACTCCAATCCCTTTATCGGCAAAAAGATTGTACCTCTCAAACTAAAGTCAGAACATGTTGAAGCTTAAAGTAAGCAGTATAACAGGCTGCCGTGGCTGAACGACTTCTCAAGCACATTGTCTTATTTCCCTGTGTGTGGTTTTTTTTTTTTTTTTTCTTAAAATGATTATTGCCGTTGCGGGGAGAAGTCATTCAAGCGAAACGTGTGTTTTTTTGTTTGGTGTCACCACTCAAGCTTAAAAACTACCGTGTTGTGGAGATTTCTTTCATATGGGGTTGAACCAAGATTTTTTTTTTTTCCCGGTGTGTGGTTTTTTTTTTTTTTTTTTCTTAAAATGATTATTGCCGTTGCGGGAAGAAGTCATTCAAGCGAAACGTGTGTTTTATTGTTTGGTGTCACCACTCAAGCTTAAAAACTACCGTGTTGTGAAGATTTCTTTCACATGGGGTTGAACCAAGTCTCAGCTATTTAAGACGTCAGAGACCTCAAGGAATGATGATTCATCATTTATGGCTTGTTCGAAAAAAATAAATATCATGTTTGAACGACGTCAAACTGTTGTTAAACAATCTCCGGACCTAGTCAAATAATATACAGCAAGTCGCTCCCAAAGTTTTAACTTTCGCGGACCAGTGGACAGGCTTCTAAAAAAAAAAACCCATAGACCTGTGCCAGATTTATTCGTTATATTTTCTTTTTGTGCAGACCGGCAGCGTAATTTCCGTGGGCATGTGCCGGCCCACGGACCAGCCATTTGGGGGAAACGTTGATCTACAGTTTATCTGTTTACTTTCTACGAATTGTCCTTTTTTGTTCGATATGTGAATCACGTCTAGAAAATATGTGCGTGTGATAACCACAGAAATTAAAGTGACTATAATATTGCTAGAAATGTGTTTCGACTCCCCGAGGAAAAAAAAAAAACACTACACAAGGGCTAACACAGACACAGACGGATTTCCCCACACAGAGAGACAAGCAATGATTTCAGACACACGTATTTCATACCAAGACATTTCACACATGAACAGACACATACAGATATTTTTTTTTTTAACTCACAGACACACAAATACGGAGCTATCTAATCGCTATCACTGGTGATGGTGTAGTAACTTTTAAAAACAATATCTAAAATTTCTAAGTAAATCCAGCTCCACTAAAACCTGTCATTTTTTGTTGTAGATGTTTTCTTATCGAGCTCGCTCTCTTCACAGATGAGTGACTTACTCGCTAGGTAGCATAGAAGATAACCTTAATTACTGACAACAGTCGTTAATAAACAAAATTTAACATATTCAAAATTGTAATTTTAAAAAAAATAAATCTCAACGTTATTTTTACCAATAATTTTGTTTCAATATATTTTATTTTTTCACAAAATGATACTTTCATTTTTATTTATTTTTTAATCATATAATATACGTGTTCGCTTAATTTTTCAAATCTTGCAATGATAGCTTAATTATTTTAGTGAGGTTTTTACAATTGTGAGACAATGAGAGGTACAACATACCTTGCCATAAGTGGAGTTTCTCTAGTATAAATAAATATGATATTATGTAGATTAGGCGAGATGAAAATCTCGGTGCCAATCAACGCTACTCATATCTTTTTACTGCATTCAATTTCAAGATTAACTATACGTCAAGAAAATCACTTGTAAAAAAAAAATTATCAATTACAAAAACACGCTTTGTAAGATTATATATATATGTGTTACACATTATATATATATATTACACATTATATATATATGTACACGTAACTTAATAAGTCCAATATAATTCATTAAATTCTATTCATAGCCTTGGTTTAACAAAAGTAACAGTGGTTAGCAAATAGAAATGATCCTTCATTAAGACATTCTGTATCATTAAAGGACTTCATTTTAAACACGCGTTTTAATATGATGGCTGATTCTTCGTGTTTTAATGGCTAAAAGTGTAAAATAAGCTGAGTTGCAAAGCTGAGTGGCTTAAAGCATGCCTTTATGAATGCGTCGAATACGATCATTATGTATAATGTAATGAAAAACATTTTCGTTTGCTTGGATTAATCAATGAACCTCATCTTGTCTTATCCTATATTTACTTTTGCATCTTTATGTTCGTCATTGCGAGAACATCCATTTCTATAATATATTTACTAACAACTATTTTAATTGAAAAGAAACCCGCATGCTGAGAGCGTGTTACCTGAAACAGAGATTTCTCTTAAAGGACTATAGGATTAAAAGAAACCCGCATGCTGAGAGCGTGTTACCTGAAACAGAGATACTCTTAAAGGACTATAGGATTAAAAGAAACCCGCATGCTGAGAGCGTGTTACCTGAAACAGAGATTCCTCTTAAGGGACTATAGGATTAAAAGAAACCCGCATGCTGAGAGCGTGTTACCTGAAACAGAGATTCCTCTTAAAGGACTATAGGATTAAAAGAAACCCGCATGCTGAGAGCGTGTTACCTGAAACAGAGATCTCTCTTAAGGGACTATAGGATTGTTTAACCATAATCTAGTTACTGGTTTGGTGGATTTTTAAAGGGAGTGTGGCGCAGCTCACAGTCAGTGCCACACTGGGTGAGACAGGAATTCGGCACGAAATAAACTTGGCTGTTGGCCAAAAAGTGGCGCCCTTCTCCATATCAAGAAAAAAGTGCCTAACGAGGGTGGGGGGAGGGGAGAGACCACCCCCCTCCTCACCCCCTTCACACGCCACTGAAAAGGGGTAACAATGACACTAAAACAAAATCTAAATTTAATATATCATTTAGCGTGCAATCCCAAAGTCATAACGAATTTGTGGATTAAAAGCAAAAATATCACCAATGTTAATCGTGTAAGTATAACATTATGAGCAGAAGTGAAATGATAGAGAAAAAAAATTGCCTAGAGATAATGTGTTTTAGAAGTTAGAACTATATAATGTTAATGTAATCAACATCTACAAGTGCAAATATTTTTATTTTAAAAAAAGTAACTTAAGGCAAGAGAAGAAAGTAATAACGAATAAGGAATTAAAGTTATCATTCTAAAAAAAAAAAAATTGCAACTTTAAAAGAAAATCAATAAAGCAACTCTCAACAGATTCTAGTTTCATCCTTGAGTGTTTAGACCCAGTCACGTGATAAAACTTACGGACTCTGATTGGTCGACTTGTGTGCGTCAGCCTCTTCATGACGTTGGCCGGGATTTCCCTGTATTTCGGAGATGGTGGCGGCGGAAGTACAACCTCTTCTTTGGGTACTTCCGGTTCTAATTCAAACGTTACTTCCTGGGGGAAAATAAAAAAATATAACAAACATACATCTTAATCTGAAATCATTTTTTTTTTAAAATAGATCTTAACCAAATATAGCATCATCAAGATTTGATAAACATTGTCAACATCTGCCCTTCACCCTACATTGTGTCTTCATTGTAAACATTGGCTGTCATTTTAGATCCTTTTTTTTAAAAAAGAAAAAATCCTAAGCTGTTTGTGTATAACATCACATTGAAATATACCTCGAAAAATTATAACACACAACTATGCGACTAAAGATTGGCCATTCACATGATAGAATATGTGGCATGCTAATTTCACAAACTCGGAAATGTGTACTTCAAAGTAAAGAAATATTAAACAAAATGTATATGTTTGTTTTTCTGGATGTTTTTTTTTTTTTGTTGTTTTTTTATTTTTGTTTTGTGTCTGGAAACGTTGTTTTGAAATCCATAGCAATTTTTTTTTTAAACAAAAATTGAATAAGTACTAACTTTATATGGTAAAATTCAAATTTGACGGTGAAAAATGTTAAAAAAAATAATAAATTTTCAAAATAAATTTTAAGAAAATAGTCTCCTTTCAAAAAGTCCTCTTCTTTAAATGTATGTGGTGACTTTGTGTTTTAAAAACCTACCCATAAACAGAGACATATTAACTCTCCGGAAACCTACAAAGTGGTACAAATGAAACATCATCATGCGTGCATCAAATCAGATATCGTCATGCAAAAGACGCATCAAGCATCCTCATACTTGCACCACATCAGACATCTTCATACCCGCACCACATCAGACATCCTCATACCCGCACCACATCAAAGATACCCATACCAGCCCCACACCAAACATCTTCATACCCGCACCACATCACACGCATCCTCTTACCTTCTTGGGCTCTGGCTTCTTCTCCTCGGGGACGCTCTCCTGCACCAGGTACTCCACCACCAGGGATGTCTCAATCTCCATCTCGAAGCTGAACGTCATCCTGTTCCTCAGCTGCTCATCGCGAACCCCGACCGGAATCAGGTTGACCACGACATCCAGGGTTCGGGGGTCGACATCCAACGGCTCAAAAAAGAAAGTTCTGTTTGCGAAAGAACAAATATACATGTATACATAAATAAATATATATATATATATATATATATATATATATATATATATATATAAACGAAAAAATGTATTATGTATACATATATTATATACCAACTGTTCTAAAAAAAAAAAAATCTGTTTGAGAAAAAAAAAATATATATATATATATATATATATATATATATATATATATATATATATATATATATATATATATATATATATAAACGAAAAAATGGATTATGTATACATATATTATCTACCAACTGTTCTTTTATATTCGAAAATGTTTCATATCGTTCTGTTTTATATTCAAACAAGTGGATATCTAAAATATGCTCGCCAAGTAAGGAAACAAAATATACACAAATTTGGTTAGTGTGCTGAATGTTTAAGTTAAGTAACTGTTCACTAAAAAAAATAAATGTTTAATGGCATTCAAACCAATTTGTGTAAATTAAACAGCGTAGGTTAATCTACATGGTAAAACACAAAGTCAACTCAGGGACGTCATTTGGGTAGGTTGGAAGAAGCATTGCCCCCCCCCAACACCCCAATCTTTTCACGAATTTTTAAGATTTCCCCCCACTTTGGTATCAGCACCTAGGACACACTTGGCATTAGCATCTAGAACAACAGAAAATGAAATTTATCAGAAAATAAATAAGGAAAAGGAAAAAGAAGGAACATCCTTTCATTTAAAATCAAAATTAGAAATTACAATCGGGCAATTCTTATTTCATATTGCTATGCACGGTGGCGGATCCAGAAATAAACATCTCAACAAGCCTGCAAAGTTTTTTTTTTGCCCCACCCCATGAAAAAAAATATTCTGAAATGACGCCCCTGATCAAACGTGATAGTATTAATTAGTATAGTAATAAATTAAATTTACTCACAAACAAAAAATCAAAAGTCTTTTTCCTTCTAGTCATAGTCCCTTAAATGACTTATTTCTGCAACTCATTTAAATGGCTTAATTCCTTTAACTCCCCAAAATTACTTTTTCCTTCGACTTATTTATATGACTTATTCTTTCAACTCAGTTAAATGACCTATTGCTTCATCTTACCAAAGTGACTCATACCTTCAATCCCACTAAATGACTTATTCCTTCAACTCACCTAAATAAGCATTTTTTTTCAACTCACCAAAATAACGTATTACTTCAACTTACCTAAATAGCTTATTAATTCAACTCACCTAAAAGACTTATCACTTCAACTCACCTAAATGACGTATTACTTCAACTCACCTAAAAGACTTATCACTTCAACTCACCTAAAAGACTTAACACTTCAACTCACCTAAAAGACTTATCACTTCAACTCACCTAAAAGACTTAACACTTCAACTCACCTAAATGACTTATTACTTCAACTCACCTAAATGACTTATTACTTCAACTCACCTAAAGGACTCGCCCAGTCTCGAGAAGTACCTCAGTTGGTTGTTTTCCCTCAGGTCAGAGGTCACGCTGATCTTGACGTCGCCGTCCACATCCACAAGCCAAGTGGATCCTTCACATAGCTCCAGGCTGTCCTCCCTCTGGGCCACTGGATTCTTCCTGCTGGGTGGCATCCGCCGGCTGGAAAACCGGGCAGGCTGGTTGGTCGGTACAGGCGCCTGTTTCTTTGGTAGATACTGCGGAGAAGACATCAGAAATATGCAACGTGGTTGGGTTTGGGTTGGGGGGGGGGGCAGTTTTGTTTGGTGAACTTGTGAACTAAACACAATATTTTATTCTATTTTTAACGATTTTTTTCGTAAAGACATAACATTTACTCATAGGAAGGGAAAGCTTCAATTAAATGTATTATTTCTAGAGAACGGAATTTTGATGGTACCATTTATTTCAAATGTACGTTTTTTTTTTTTTTTGTATGCATATCATCTCCCTATCTGTTCAATATCTGATTTATACTGGATTGATTTTTGTACTTTTAAATGCATTACTTTATAAGCCATTGCCGCAACAATAATCCTAAGAAACGTCATTTTGTTCTTCGCTGAAGGAAAAATTTGCCAGACACTTGGCGCGTTTAAAGCAGCAGTGCTATTTTTTAATTTTTTTTTTTATTTTTGAAGGCTACAGCAGAGAATGATGGCGGTGGAAGATTTGGCGGAGGTCCCTTTAAAAGAAACTTGAGCGATTTTTAGTACAAACCTTGGAAAAACTCTTCTACAAACACTGGTGGATTTGCGCAAAATTCTCTTCACGCGGCACAGTGGCGTTACTAGGGTTAGTGCTTCCTTGGAGGAGGGTCAAGATTTTGGCGCCCACTCCCCAAACAAATAACGATGCAGTAGAGCAAAAAGGACACCCCTTGATGTATAGGGGAAAAAATGACAACCGGGTTGGACAGTCCCTTCAGTCTCATCCTTTTATTAGTATGTGACAACGCCTACCAACAGGGATTCTGGCCAAGGGAAAGTGCAAAGAAGACTAGAATGGTGGCATTCTGAAATTCCACCTGGCCTGTGATGTGGTGGGCCAGACAAAGACAAGTAGAGTGTCTAGACTATAAGTCTAATATTTGAAAGTTAAGATCGAAAAAAAAAATTGGAAAAAGGGGGGGGGGGGAATTACCGGGAATCCCTGAGCCTTCCTGTCGCTTATTTTCGTGTCCAGCTGAAAAAAAACTTGGAAAAAGGGGGGGGGGGGGAATTACCGTGAATCCCTGAGCCTTCCTGTCGCTTATTTTCGTGTCCAGCTGACGATCCGGCACGACCTCCACCAGGGCGAACCAGGACTTTCTCTTCATGGACAGGAACAGGCACACCTCTCCCCTTTCCTTGTTGTGTCTGCCTTCCACCGCCGTGACGGCGTCCTTCATTTTCTTCTGTCTGCCGGGGAGGCACTGAACGACACAGTACCTGGGGTGAGCAACAATGAAGGGAAGACGGAGTCCGTGAGACGGGCAACACTTTTAACAGACGTGTTGTCTCAAAACGCGATGTCACCTACATAGCATTTAATATTCGCTACATTCGACAATAATCAATGAGTCCTCATTAAAGAATATCATTGGCGGTTGTTTTTTTTTCTCTCGTTTTATGCCACGTATGCCAAACAGGGTCAATTTAATGTAACAGATATCACATTAGATCTCATAATATATACATCCAGCACAATATCTCTTTGAAACACTTGTTTCATACTAAATAAATAATGAATTAAGAAATAATGTATTATGAAACGGCTTACTCGATCAGTGTTAATGTTACTTTTAGCTTAAATCATCTTAATTTAAAAAAAATGTATATACATATAAGCTGTAAGTTTCGCTAAAAGTTAGATTCCATATTTTTTTATATTATTTTATATAATTTCATTCGTTCCTTCTTTGGTAATTAATTTTACCTAGTTAGTTCCCTGACGTCAAAGGTGACGGTGGTTCTTGTAAATTTATAATTGGTTTCCACCAGTTCCCAGCCGAAGTTCGATTTGTACAGCACGGCGATATCTTGGTGGCCCTCACTAGTGGCAGCAGCGCCTGTTTTTGGGGGGGGGGGGGGGTTTAAAATAAAGGCATACATTTTTTTTTCTAAATTTAAAAACAACTAGTGTGGCACAAATTGATCATCTTATAAAATTTCGTTTGTTGGATACATGTTTTAGGAAGTAAATTTAATAGATGGGTAATTCACTCATCGCGGCAACTTTTCGTTGAGCAGGCTATAGGTAGTCTACAAGTTATTATCACAAAATAGTGTAAGAAGCCTTTGCTTCTTTTGCACAGCTCATTTAGAAGGAAAAAAAGAAAAGAAACAAGATCCTATAGCTTTAATTCTTTGACCAAATGCTTCAAGATAGGTGAGTTTAAATTATTTGACGTATGACATCACACAGGAGAGCTGTTGAAATAATTTCCTACGAGATTATAAAATGAATTACTCTTTATGGCTCTACATTTACTTAGACCGACCAAAACAAAAACAAACAAAAAACTAATAATAGAAGGGAAAAAAAATCCTTTGTTACCTGCCTGCTGCAAATATCACTGTGTGTTGTTTTTTTCCTTTTTTAAATTTCTGTATTAGAATTGGTTGTACCAGCTGTTTCATAGTTTTGATGAGGTTTTTGTTTTCAATATATTTTTAAGACAGAGGTAGATTTAAATGTAAAATTTTTTGTATTTCACAAGCATGTCATGTGTCTGTAGGTGATTGTCTAGAAAGTATAGGTTGATGTAACCTGTGCTAGAATTTAGTGGAGTGGTTCCCAATCTTTTGAATAGTCCGCACCTCGAAGAATGATTTATGTAGTGTTACATCCCTTTCAATTTTCTTTTAAATTTGCAAAGATAACTGAAAATCTAAATACATAAACATGTGCCTTATTATATACAATAATTTTTAAAGATTTTTTTTTAAAATGTATATATTAACGCTTATATCAAGCGTTCTAGCTTATATCTTTATGTTCTTTTGTTCCATTTCCTAGCCAAACCTAAAATATCTTCCCACGTTGAGAAAATATGTTTTATTGCATTGTTTCTCGTCTTAAACCGGTCCAGTTCGGCTTCTATATTTTGCATAAATGTTTCATTGCATTGCGTCTCGTCTTAAACCCGTCCAGTTCGCCTTCTATGTTTTGTAAACATATCAAGCTAGACTGACCTCCCCCTTCAACGGTTACTTCCATCCCGACCGGAAGAGGCAGCTTCACGGTCACGGGATGCCGGAAGGTGCACTGCGCCGTCGCTATGACGTCAGTGAACTCTGTGATAGCGACCAGCTCGGCCGTCTCTTGGGGGCAGAGATCTCGGGCCAGTTTGATCTTCTCCGGACCAACAGGGTGAATCTGGGAGAGACGCAACGACTTGTCATCATAACTTGTGACATTGACATTCTATATGATAAATTGTTACATCCTAATGTTTGTGGGTTATAAGCCCAATAGATGAATCCACACATTTATTAGATTCGCTTTGAATCAAGTATTTGTGGTAATTGGAATGATGAAGGGAGATATGGAGAGCTATAGATGGACCAAAATGCAAAAATGTGGTGGAGCAGGCCAGGGCCCTACATGGGCTGTGGCGCCACCAATGATGATGATGAAGGGAGATATGGAGGCGGATTGCAATAGATCGATCAAAATGCAAAAGTGTGGTGGAGCAGGCCAGGGCCCTACATGGCCTGTGGCGCCACCGATGATGATGATGATGAAGGGAGATATGAAAAGTAGGCGCCTACATTGCCCACGATTATATCTTTTTAAATGATGAAATCTATGGGGAAAAGTTAGCCTTATTGCTGCTTTACATATTTGTGACTGCAAAAAGGGGGCGTAGCTTCATTATCTCCTTCGTTTAGCGTTCACCTTTGTAGTGCCTATCAACTCCAAGTTCTTTTATACAATAATCTACTTGTTTTAAACATCAAATACAAAAATCAGTCTTAACGTAACCCACACATTTTTAAAAAAAAAATGTAAAACTATATATAACAGTTATCAACTAAATCCATGGAGCCAAAGTTACCTGTAGAGCACACTCAATATCTTGATCTATTGACTTCTTCGGGAATCGAACGCTCAGGTGTTTGGACAGCCTCGCCTGGTAGAGGCACCCTTGTTTGCTTACGGCGAACGTCTCTGTCTTCGGGGTGGACGTGACTAGGAACGTGCCCAGGCGGTCGACGTCCAGCTCAACACACGGGGCCTCGTCCAGCTCCTGGCTCAAAAAGGACAAGCCCGGTTAAGCGATTAAAAATTTTTAAAATTTGCCGTTCCGTTGCCGTTTTTATGTGGTGCGGCCTTTTGTAGTTTTTATGTGGTGCGGTCTTTTGTAGTATTCTATGTGGAGCGGTCTTTTGTAGTTTTTTATGTGGTGCGGCCTTTTGTAGTTTTTATGTGGTGCGGCCTTTTGTAGCTTTTTATGTGGTGCGGCCTTTTGTAGCTTTTTATGTGGTGCGGCCTTTTGTAGTTTTTTATGTGGTGCGGCCTTTTGTAGCTTTTTATGTGGAGCGGTCTTTTGTAGTTTTTTTTTTTTTTTTTTTTTTTTTTTTTTTTTTTTTTTTTTTTTTTTTTTCCCTTTTGTATTTTTTTTTTTGGTGGTGTGGCCTTCTGTAGTTTCTTGTAACGTATTCATGACAGGTAGAGGAATAAGGAGTACATCAAAGTTTGAATACGGGCCACGAGTCAAATGAGGGTGAGACACGCTTTCTAGATTAATCAGTAGGATCTGAGCAACTCTGATTGGAGGAGTCCTAATCACATGACGATACGACATTAATTTTTTTAAAAATCAACATAGTTCAGGGTTTCCTTCAGCTATATCTCCGGTGGGGCAGTGCCCCCCTCCCGGAAGCAAAAATATGTCCAAAAATGAATTAACTGGAACTGTTCGCACTGCCCCCCCGAAAAATCTGAAGTGCCCCACCCCCCCCGGGGGAAAAATTCTGAAAGCAACACTGACATAAATAGAGTAACGAATTAAGAGGGATAACGTTAATAAAGAATTAAGTTGATCATGGTGCAATCATGCCCTAGAATTGACGACGCTAATAAATGAAGGACTGCGTTCAAGCCGTGTGAGGGATATTGTAGGTACAGGATGTGCGCTGAAGGTTTGTCGTAGAAAGACATGACTTTTTTAAGATACAACGCTGGCGGCTGCACATACGATACCTTTATTAAAAATCCAACGTTGACCCATTCCGCCTCGTCCGTCCACTTGCCCTTGACGTTGATCTCTTCGAACTCGTGCCTCACCGGCCGGAAGGGTATCAGGATGACCAGGTGCTTCTTGAGGCTCCTCGCCGACGACCTCAGCGTGAAGATCTCGCTGTTGACGTGCTCGAACGAGGGCAGGTGATGGGGGCACGTCAGCCACCTCGTGTTCGGGCCGGCGACCTGGCACGAGACGGTGTCCTTCTTGCCGAAGCAGGCGTCGGGGACCTTGAGTTTGGCGCCCAGGGGCAACTGGAAGGTTCCGCCGTTTTTACCCGGGGTGTGGACGACGCTGAGGCTGCGGATGAAGAGGGAACCCATAGTTACGTGACGTGGATGCAGGGCAGATAGGATTGCTAGACTCGATATGTACATTTACGTGACCCATTTTTTTAACATATAAATTATATAACAATATAAGGTTTCAAAAATATTTCACAGGCTTGATTTCTAACACTTCTTATTTTTATTAATAATTTTTATTTTATATTATTTATTTTTGTTTAGAAAGCACCATATTTAATAAGAATTGCTAACTATATTTTTTTATAAAAGAATATATTTTTAAAAAAATCGAAACAATTTATCTAAAGTTAGCCCACCTACTACCACAAGTTGATCCACCTACTAACACAAATTAACACACCTACTAACACAAGTTGACCCGCCTACAAAAGCAAGATGACCCACCTTCTAACACAAGTTGACCCACCTACTAGCTCAAACTGACTCACCTACAAAAAAAAAAGATGACCCACCTACTAACACAAATTGACTCACCTACTAATACAAGTTGCCCCACCTACTAACACAAGTGTCCCACCTACTGTCAAACGTTGACTCACCTACTGTCGCACGTTGTCTCACCTACTGTCGCACGTTGTCTTACCTACTAGCACACGATGTCTCCCCTACAGTGGAAACTTGCTCTATTTATTTATTTATTTATTTAGGCATTTTTATATAGAGCTTATCATAAAGCTCTAAGCGCTTTACAATTATTAAAACATGTAAACTAAGTAAATAAAAATGAGACACTAGGATAGTAACTACTATACTATAGAAACAATGAAAATGGCTATAAAACGAGGACACTTTGACACTTCAGGATCAACCCGAAACAGAAAATGAGGTAGGACAAGGAGGGTGCATCACAGGTCTCTATTCCCTGACTTAACTATGTCTGTGTCGGTACGATTCTCTAATCTGCGCGTATCTCAAAATATCTGCCATACCCTATGACCCGATGTTGTGAAATGATTTTTTTTTTTTGCCTGTCATTTCTACTACAACGAGATGTTCTAATTATAACCTCATCGAACCTGAATTTAAAAAAAAAAAAAATTTAAACACGTTGCCCTTACCTTGCTTCATCTACTACCACGGGATGTTCTGATTGGTTGACGCTGTTGATTCCTTGCTTTCCCATGCCAGATTTCTTATCACTAGAATAAAAAAAAATATATAATAAACCTAAAAATAGATCATTAATTACTTAAGGGTTTAGATGAGCTACCGTTGTCTTGGATGATTTATTTTCAAACAGTGTAAAGGGACATAAAAAAACAATCGCTATTGCTATCGATGTATTGAGATGTAACAATTAAGGACAGCATGCAGTCAGTGGCGTGCCTAGGGTTTGGGGGGGGGGGGGCACATGGCCGGGACGGTATTCTTGTCTCGTCGTGACCCCCCCTCCCACCCCCACCCCACTTCTTTATTTAAAAGGAAAACAAACGCAGAAGTTAGCCGAAAATTCCGACCGTGACCATATAGAGCAAAACAAAATAATGTCCTTCCTCTTCCTACTCAGCTGTGCGTTCTGGTAGATAGACCACCGGCTTGTGATATTGATAAATGCACAATTTATTTAATTAATTTTTTTTTTCCATTGTTGTGTGTTTTTAGTTTTTTTCTTTCATTGATAAAATCTTGAGCTTTCTATTGACATAATGCCTCATGTAATGTTAGCTCTGTATAGAAACACGTAGCAGGGCAAGTTGTTGCGCAAAGATAGCCGTCGAAGAGTAACAGAGTGTCTTCTTCAATAATACACGTACACACATATCTTATTACGAACAAATTATGAAAACAAAAATTAGAAAAGAATATTGGAATGTAACGTTGACACCTTCTCTAGATGCTAGGTATTTGTAATACAAAAAAAAAAAATAATGTGTAAATATAAAAAAATGCCACGCTGAAGAATTTCAGCAACACTAAAAAAACAACAACAAAAAACCAACAAAAAAAAAACGTTAGTGTATGACACGACCTTTTTTGGTTACATGATACAGGTTAGACAATACTATTATTCTTGCAATTTTATAAAACATCTGTTCATATTTTTTTTTTTTAAATGATTCTTTAACTATGTATAGGTTAGGCCTAACAGTAGAGGGAAAACTCCTCCATGAACTCAATTTTTTTTTTTAAATGCGTGAGATAATGCGACAGCTGAGATAGACTTCGGATGCTTAAAAATAAAAACAACCAAAAAATACACCATGTCATGACGAGTCATTAACAGGGTTGATAAAAAACGATCATAGTGCAGAGTGTGTTACAGCAGCAAGAACGAAACAAAACAAAAAAACAAAAACATTGCGTTTAACCCTCCACAGACTGATATCACAATTTCACATTACGGATGTGATACCTCAAACCCATCAAATACTGATACCCAAGTTTCAAATTGCGGATGTGATACTTCAAACCCTCCACAGACTGATATCACAATTTCACTATACGGATGTGATACCTCAAACCCTTCAAATACTGATATCCAAGTTTCAAATTGCGGATGTGATACTTCAAACCCTCCACAGACTGATACCGACATTTCACATGAAGGGACTAATATACATTAAACCAGTCTCAGACTGATGTTTATGCTGGCTAACTGACGGACCATAAGTGTTAACGCGACACTGTTTCTTGTTTTTTGATGGTTACAACGAAGTTAGGATATTAAAATGAAACTTGAAAGGTATTTAAAAAGTATTTCCTTTTTGGGGTGATGCATACATTGAAAGATAAATTGCGAAAAACGGTAGTTTATAATATTGCAAATGTTTCATTAAATATTTTTTTTTCTCCCGAAGGTATGTATAAAGTGCCTATACCTTTTACCTACTATTTTATAATGTAACATTCAATGGCGGACAGTCGAATCAAATCTATCGAGATAAAAAATAAAAAATTATCACACATATTAGAAATATCCTAACGACTTAGAAATATTAATCTAACTTAGAAATATCCAACAGATTTGCCAATATTCAACAGATTTGCCAATATCCAACTGATTTGCCAATATCCAACAGATGTGCCAATATCAAACAGATTTGCCAATGTCCAACAGATTTGCCAATATCCAACAGATTTGCCAATATCCAACAGATTTGCCAATATCCAACAGATTTGCCAATATCCAACAGATTTGCCAATATCCAACAGACGTGAGGGCTAGTTTCACAAACTTGGAAATATTCAAAAGAGGGGCCAGTAGCCAGTCAGACGTGTCAGTAGCCTACAAGTCAATGAAATATCAGGCGCTGTGCCACCGACAAAAACCGACAAAGGGAGCCACGCCGACATAACACCGCACCCAACCCGTCATACATCCGTTATGGGGAGTAGTCAACCAAAGAACAACACACAACAATCCACCGTTTCCGTCTACCAACCACCCCCTCCACCGCCGACCCCCTCACCCCTTTCCTATTCACCCTTCCAGAACACAGCCCAAGTCACGGATATTCCGCCCCCGCTATGGATAAACCGCCCCCCCCCAACCCAGGCGTCGCATATTGTTTCCCGGACACCCCACTCCCCCCGCTTACCAACCTCATTACGTCCATTCTTTCCAAAAGGATTGAGCCCCGTGTGGTTGACAAAGCCAACTCAGGTGGCGCTGTTGACCTCAACCCCCCCTGTTGTTTGGCGGTCGCCGGGTGCGATAGAGTCAATAATCCGGCCGCGAGTGGCGCGGCGTTCGATGTGATTGACTGCGTAAGCCGGTCGTAAGCCAATCGTAAGCCAGTCGTGCGTAGATCTTTCGATCTCAGCATTATCTCACCGGTGACACAAACATCAGGGGTTACAGTAGGTCTTCAAGGGACTGCTTCCATGATCTCGCAAGCGACAAAACCATCGGGCCAATACAGTAGGTCTTAAAGGGACTGCTTCCATGATCTCGCAAACGACAAAACCATCGGGCCGATACAGTAGGTCTTTACGCCATGGCTTCAATTATTTCGCAAATCACTCAAACATCAGACACTACAGCAGATCTACACGGGACTACTTCCATTTTCTCACCGGTCACACAAACATCAGATCTTACAGTAGGTCTTAACGGGGCTGCTTCCTGGGTCACCTACTAATTTTTTCGCACAGTTTTGGTGTAGGCACGCACGATTCCATAAAAGCGAACTAAATGAATTAAAAGGATTAATACGAAAAACTTGGTTTTCAAGTGTACTCTTTTTTTTAAACCCTTAGAGCAGTATTTTTTTTTAACCGGGTGTATCGCGAAACACCATTGCGTTGTACCAGAGGTTCTCAGGTGAAGTCGCGAGATGTTGATGGAAAAAAAAATTTTTGAAAAAAAAAAAAAAAAAAAAAAAGCAATTGTAGGCCTATATGTCTTTTTACTTTCAGATGAACAAAGAACCAGTGGTATGAAAGATCTGATATGATACAAATATGGTAAGCTATGGCTTCGGGACTTAATCACTAATCATATGGACTTCTTACTATTCATACATTTTGTTGTGGTGTATGCCTTCGGTGATTTTATCAAAATTGTTTAAAACAGGCCCTGCACATCATGCGGCCCGCCTGCACCCATTTGCGGTCCGCGAAGTAACGAAATATTTTTTATTCTCATTATTTTCGTATTTTCAAATGCTTTGAAGTTAAGTTTTAAGAACCCCAAGGCTGACTTTGCTTAAAATGAACTGAATTACTGTCCCATATATGCCATTGGACATATTATATGCCGCTTCCATTTTTTCTAGTTTTTTTTTTCTTTTCAAAATGTAATTATTTAAAGAGACACATACACACACAGAAATAAAATTTACGGTGTATGTTTATGTTTGGGGTAGTGTATTTGTGTGTTGGGGTGTGGGGTATTAGTGTGTGGGTGGAGGTGTTGTGTGTGTGTGTATTGGGGGATTTGTGTGTGTTTGGGGAGGATCTCTGTGTGTATATGTTTGGGGGAATGTATTTGTGTGTGTTTGGTCGAAGGGTATTTGTGTGTGGGGGAGTGTAATTGTGTGTGGAGGGTATTTGTCTGTGTGTGTGTGTGTGTTCGTTCGACCTCTTAAAACAATATCCTATTTCCAGTCAACGTTATGGCGTCAAGCTAGTTACAGTAACAACGTCGCACATTGTCAATGTGAGGAGACCGTTGCGACATGACCTAACGGTTGGATAACTCTATCGCCAGTGCAGATTAAGGTGTGTGCATTCTGGATTGCTCTGCCCTTGTCTGTAGCCAATGTTGTGTTTTAATTAGCCCCACACGGGGGCTATCATCGCGCACCCCCAACACCCCCAACCAAAACACCCTAACACCCCCAAACCCCAACACCCCCAACCGCAAAACCCTAACACCCCAACATCCCCAACCACAACACCCTTACACCCCAACACCCCCAACGCCCTACACCCCAACACCCTACACCCCAACCACAAAACCCCAACACCCTCAACACCCTAACACCCCCACGACCCTAACACCCTAACACCCTAACACCCTAACACCCCCAATCACAACACCCTAACACCCACGCAAAACCCTAACACCCCAACATCCCCAACCACAACACCCTTACACCCCAACACCCCCAACGCCCTACACCCCAACACCCTACACCCCAACCACAAAACCCCCACACCCTCAACGCCCTAACACCCCCACGACCCTAACACCCTAACACCCTAACACCCTAACACCCCCAATCACAACACCCTAACACCCCAACATCCCCAACCACAACACCCCCAACACCTTCAACACCCTCAACACCCCCATACCCTAACACACCAACACTCCCAACCACAACACCCTAACACCTCAACACCCCCAACACCCTAACACCCCAACTCCCCCAACCCCAACACCCCCAACCCCGAAACGGCGCAATACTTGGTCTGCTTGGGGCTTGAAGACACAGGAGCCAGCACGCACCGGGAGCACATGCGCCGCGGCAGGTGTCAGACTGGATGTGTCATCGACATAAATTGCATACACCGTAATCAATGTAAGACACACGGTTAAAGTAAACTCTGCACTTAACATGTCATGTTCGGGCCAGTCAAGGTTTTTTTTTTTTTTTTTTTTGTTTTTTTTTTTTGTTTACTGTTTTTTNGCCCCCCCCCCCCACAACCACTTTTTTTTTTCTTACACCGCATATTAATATTAATTACTAAAACTATTTCCAAAAAACGGAAGAAAACATGACGTTCCAAACGAACTTGAGAGGCATTTGTTCAGATTCGCTTTTTTTGGCGCAGCCATCGGGCATAACATTTAAGGAAATCAGCACCATCCGGTCAGTGACATTGCTGCTGCGTGGAGAACGAAACATGACTAGTTTTAGCCCGCCAAACATTGGCTGCCGCCATGCGTGAACTTCCCATCTACTAAAGCTAGTTGACAAAAACATGAACTCAAGTAAGTAAAGCACATTGAAAAGAACCCCAAATTTGTTTCTTCCCTCCCCCGCCCGCCCGTCATCCCCCCCCCCCCCCCCGGTCATGATACGTCACCGCACATACTTTTTATTTCACACCCATGATGGTTATTAATATTCTGATACCCCAATCACTTTTAAAGCGAATATTTATTACATCATATTTAAATTGAGAAAATTTCCTTTTTCGAAAAGAAACTTTTACGAAACCAAACGCAGTTGCATTATTACTACAACAACAACAAAAAAAAAAAAAAAAAAAAAAAAAAAAAAAAATTTGAAGAAAAAAAAAAGAGGTAAAAAAAAAAAAAAAAAAAAAAAAAAAAAAAAAAAAAAAAAAAAAAAAAAAAAAATGTTTTTAACATGTCATTTAGCGTAGTTATCGCTAATTAAATTTTGCGCGCTATCCGGAATGGAAGCAGTAGCGCCACAAGCAAAATATATATAGAAGAGATGATGATGGGAGGCCTTGCACTGGAATACTTATCAGCTTGGGTTGCTCGGTCTGTCCTAATGATATCATATTGAATCCAAAACTCAATTAGATTTAATAAAACATGAGATATTATGAAATGAATTTTGCCTTGCCCACCCCCCCCCCTTTTTTTCCGGGGAGCAGAAGTCCATGTTCTTTGGAACAGCCAGTAGACTGTTCGTGTTCACTACCCCCCCCCACCCCCCAACCTTCCTTTTGGGGAGTCGGAGTTTAGAAAGGAATTAACGTTGCTTACAATATAAAGATTAAATAATAAAATGATAATAATTTAAATGTTGATATTTTAAAATAATACTAAATACTGAAAATTATAATTAAACAATCTCTAAAAAAAAAAATGTTCGAATAAAACCATCATAAAATCTAATAATTGAGCAATGGGGTTGGGGGAGGGGGGTTGAAGCTGGAAATTTGAAGAAAAAAATGTGGTCATTTGCAACCAGTCAATGTGCACAGAGTTACAGCTCGATAGATTGACGGGAAGTGGGTCAGTTAGCCGTCCATGAATTGTGCCATCGAGCCAGTCGCGAACAAAAAAAAGCAAAGTAAATATATAAAGTATTTAAACAGAAAATATAGCCAATCTTCCTTACGATGTGTATGTTTTAAGACGATGTCTTTGGCAAGCGTTAACACATGACGTAACTCAAACACCCTGCGCCAGCGCTCTCGGCCACCAAGTGCGTGTTAAGCATTCGGAGATTCGGTACGTTTCGGCACGGCTTCAACTTCTACTATTACTACCAAATCTTTTATATGGAATCAGCGAACTGTGACGCAGTGTCAATGAGATCAAAACCTGAAGGTTGACATGATTCACGACACAAAAAAAAAACACATAATATAATATATCCAACCCCCTCCCCCCCCCCCCCCCCCCCCCAACACCGTCCCGAAACGCTGAAATAAACACGACACTTGTGGGTTTTTTTCCCCCTATTGTTAAGTGTGACGTTCCCAAACGCAACGCTCTCTTGATACAGGTGTTGTTCAAGCGTGTAAGATTGAATGTTGCACGAGGAAACCACGAGTGTGGGAGGCACAAAATATGTACACATTTAAAAAAAAAATAAAAATATATTTATAATGAGCTTCATGGTACAGACGTAAG